CAGTCTGTGCAGGCGCCAGACATAATCGTTCGCGCGGACATCCGTTTATTACTGTACTCGTAGTTTGAACAACTGCAAGGCGAGCCCATCAAAAATTACAACAATCAACAATGGCGACAGTCCAGCATGATCAAAACCATCCAGCATGATTATCAAGGTTTCGACTGGCCAAGCAAGCCAATATAACTGGAACTCATCGCTAAGTGATTGTGACCAAAGCTGGTCTTATCAGCAAAGCGGACTGCGGAGCTCCGTTGAGTTAGCATATGAGCCTCAAGTAATTTCTCGTACAAGATGGAGGGATGGGTCTGCAGTACGCCGTGTACAAAACTTTGCGTCGAAACGGATGCACCCTTTGAAAAAATTGTTAATCGAATCAGGAAAGCAGTACAGCAAGTTCCGTAAATCGTTCAATTCGTTGCGGCTGCCATTGTCTGTTCCTCTTGTTTCTGGAACAAATGAGCATTGTCCGTTTACTGTGACCAGCAGACATGTGCAGTGATGGGCGATGGAAAAAATGCACAAACACTCACTTGTTAAGCCATTTCTCATGCAATCAAATTTCAACAACTGCTAAAAGAAGCTGGTACGAGTTCTCTTCCAATCAGCGGAGTTGGATCGTGGAAGTGGCCGTGGCTTCCAAATTTTGTATATTTTATAGGCTTTGTTGAGGTCCACTTGTCCAGATCTCCAGACTGCAGCGCTCCTTATAAATCAGTGCCTTTCTTAAGCTTTTCTGATTGTTCAACAGATGTCTCCCGCCTAATTGGGCAAGGCGTTTTCCAATTTACAGCCTATAATAGTGTCTGTTTATGACAAAGTTTTTTTATAATTTTCCCCAAAATTCATTTTGCCATCCACAGATTGTACTGTCCGATGCTAGGAGATGTCATCGATGTCAGATAGTGTAGCGGTTCGGAATTTAACAATCGCGGCTTTACTGCATAGAGCCAATGCATTGAAAGCCGCCCGCCAAGAATGCGTGGACACATTCAATGGTACCAATAAAATTAACATTATTTCCTTAATGATTCGATTGTTTTCTGTATCTTACAGCCGTTTTTGAGCTATACAGTGCCAATTATTGTGGCTTATCTTGTTGTAATCCACAATAATTAGATTTACCGTTGATACTACGCCTTTAGAACACATCTTCACAGTTTTGGAGACAGGTAGCCATTTTTGTCCACTGTTTTAGAGCATTTCGCGAACGTAAAGAAACACGTTTCCGGCGTGGAAGGCCACGAGAAGCCTGGAAAAGTCGTCTGCGCCAGCCCCAAAGAAATGGCTGCTCATGAAAAGGAGGTCTCCAGTAAATCATCGGAGGAGGGACGCCAGCATTTTGCGCAGCTCAGCGACTTGACTACCAAAAGTAAGTAATCAAATGTAAACTAGGGAAGTGCACCGCTTTAGGCTAGCACTATTAGACCGAAGCGAAGCCGGAAACTGAGTGTTGTACAAAAATACTTAGGTTATTTTTATGTAGTTTTAATACGCAGTAGCCATCAAAATAACAAAAAATTGCAAGCGCTGGCATACTACTTTACATCACAGTTAAAATTTGAACATTAAAAATCGATGTTATTTTATGCTGATTAATGTTGATAAATACATAATGTTATGTTGATTAGGTATTTATTTCGTATTAAATATTAGGAAATAGCTATTCTTATCGCCCTGACACCACCTTTGTAATGTCACCACCTTTCACCTCGTTTTTGCTATTCGCACCATCTTTTTTTAATATTTCTTACACCACCTTTAGCTATTCTCACCACCTTACGTCTTTACTGCATTCGGCTATTGCCATCTGTTTTCGCTCCATGTTCTCACGCGTGAAAAGCCAACATTAATAAAACTGGATGCGATTTCCCGCAATTGCTAGTGTGGATTACCGCTTTATCGCACGTAATGCCTTTACTTTTGTGTAACCAGGTTATCGCTCAAGCTAATGTGAGCGGGAAATGTTTTCTTGTGCAGTTTTCGAACTTGTTTTCGGACTTGGGAACATTACTGCATGACCGACGGACAGACAAAAGCGCCGCAATGTTGTACTTATAGGTCTTGCGCTGTATGTTTTCTATAATACTCAAATTCATACAATAAATACGACAATTTTTTTAATATATTTAATTTTTATTTATATTTATTTTATTCTTAATTTTCTTATTTTTATGTGACCGACGGACAGATTAGTGCGTGACCGACGGACCAAAAGTAAATCAAAATATGACAAAACCGTTGCCCTTTATTTACAGGGCGCACACGCCAAGTTGTTATCAAAACTTTTTAAATCTTATAGTTTTCTGATCAAACCGGAAGTATTTGTTTAATTATTGTTTTTGTGGTTGCTATTGTTACTTTCCATCGTTTGAGCCATAAACTGCCACATGTGAGCGGGCTGCGATTTGCAGCTACCGAATACAGAGTACTTGTATATCAGTTTTCTTGCCATCGCGAAAAACTGTTTTTTGCATTTGCTTTTTAGGTTTTTCTTGCAGTCGTCGATAGTTAACATTGAATCGGAAAGTTATGTATGTCCCATCTACTTTTAAATCGTTCAGAGGGAATCCTTGCCTCAGATTTTCTAACAATCTTGTGAACTTATAAAGGTCTCGGGCATCTACAAAAACCTTTTCGGCTCTCGTACCGTATAACATTCCCAGAGCGGGGAAAACTTTCAAAAAAATGTACCTTTTGTGGTTTAATGGTTCCATTGCGTTGGTTCTCTTCTGCAGTGCTTACTTAATGTATATTTAGCTTATTAAAACCAATTTCAAATTTCAAGCGAGAAAATGCTTTCCTGGTTTTCTTATAACTTCAGTATACAGTTCAGTGCTGACCGGCCACAGAGACGCCACCAAAGATCTCACTTTGGATCTGCCTTCTGATATCAGTTTTAGAGCTAATGGTCAGATGCTGATTTAGAAAAACGCAATAGTTGATTCTGTACAAGAAACAAACATACAAACTGGAGTTAGGGAAACTCTTTAATTTTAAAAATGATCAACTTTTTAATGACATCTAGGCGTGTGCTCCCTGGCAGCCCCTTCATATCTATATAAGGTATTGCTTAACCCGTCACCGATGTACTAGTACACGGAGATGAAAATATTCAAGACGTGCTAGAGTACCATATATTAAACTCATATCTAAGTGACTCATATCTAAAGCCTGAATGACTCATTTATGACTAAATGTCTCAAGTATGGTTTATATGCCATAATTATGTGATATGGCTCATATCTAAATATAAGTGGATATGAGATGCGTAAGTCTCAGAATATTGAATAATCTGCAGTTAGCAATAACTATTACGTAATAATTTCCCGTACAGTACTACGTACTTATAGCGCATCACGAGTCAAGGGATGTGCAGCAGAAACTCTCCAATCTTACGCGCCGAATTACCAATGAGCTGTTGGAGGTTTTCGACCAGCTGATTAACCTGCAGGTGCCTGATGCACGCCAATGGCGCCACGATGTTTTATTGCAATCCCGGGAACTGGAAAAGATGCAAGGTTACTATTTCTACAATTTTTTTAATAAAAACCTTTACTTTTGAAAGTTCATGAAGGACGTAAGAATAAACCAAAGCGGTTGTACGTTACTCGTAAGCCGCTAAACGGCATACTGAACATCGCATACGAGTTTCTCTAGATCGTTGTTTTGCCATCAAATGACCGGTTTGCAGAGAGCTTGGCGGCCATTGACAAGGGATTAATTGATGGGCCGAAGAAAGCCGTAGAGAAGATGGAGGAACGCTATGCCACAGCCGGAAAAAGCTCCAAACCTTCGGGCAGCGAGTGATCCAGTAGGCATAAAGGCCGCTGCTGTGCGCTATATAATGCCAATACCGCTCGCGCTTCCGCACGTGTATTATAATACTGCGTTATAATACTGTTTTTCATGTGGGCTAAAATTTGGCACTTTGTGCATAAAGTTCTAAAGTGCCATTGCTAAACAATCTTCAACAAAAGCCTATTACACATGTTGTCACGACTTGAAGGTGGCGTAATATCTTTAATATTAACCCGCCACTGAGGGCGCACAAAACCAACTAATTATCGGCAACATAGCAACACAGGCACACTGCTTCCGCAGTTGCCATGCTGGACACACAGGTCACAGCGAACACAGTATCTCGTGACATAGTGCCACTACACTACGCCACACATGTGTAAAAATTCCTTTGACTGGCAGTACATACCACGAACGTTACAAAGCAACAGACATTTTTACATCTGGTTTTTTATTTGCTCTACAGAGTCTGTACCTGTTTGGAAAAGTTCGTCTGTTGACTGTTATGCCTAAATTTAACTGTTGTCCATACACTGTTGTTCGTACTTAATACATGACTGCACTTTTTGCGTCATGCTCTCCCTGCCTCTCTGGTTTGTGCACTTCTGTCTTCTGTAAAACAGCCGAACCGAAGGCATTAAATTTCTCATTATTAACCTTTAACTGCGGCACATACATACGATAGTAAGCACTGCGTCGGAAACTACTAATAAACCAGAAGAAGCGCCTGATGCAAAATGATGTTGTTGGATACCTAGCACCGCCTACAAAACCGTTCATGAAAACGTAGGGCAAGCACCTGTTCAAATGGTTTCGGAAATGCAGTACCACAAATACACTGGCGATATCGACAGTACTTTCCATGAATGTCTATTGGTAGCACTAGCCACCATTTAAAGATAATTAATCGCAGGCACATAACGAGCACAGTGGGACTGCAGTATATGTACTGTATTTATCAGCATTTACGTTTAATATTGTACGAGTATGCATTTACATTGTATATACTGTATATCCGTAATATAATGTCATCTAAAGGCAATATTTGCAATATTTGAATAATGCGGTGCTTAAACAAACATCTAAAAAACCCCCCCTCACTCTGACTCAAGAGTTGTACGAAGCGCTCAGAAACCACTTCACAGAAGCCTGCCACAAACGATATCGCGAAACATAAATGATTTACTGTAATTGCCATCATGGTCAACGTGACGACCACCGACGCCCGAATCGTCGACAGCTTCGTAGTCTATCAAACCGAGCTGAAAATCATGGTGGCCATATTCACAGTGGTCTTTGTAATAGGCTCACTTTTATCACTCACCTTATTCTTGATCATCGCCTTTCAACCGCGACTGCGCACCGGCTCCGGCATTCTGCTCGCTCATCACCAATTCATGCATGTTCTACAAACCGGCATCTCTAATCCGTTTTACATGGCCACAGTGTGGGGCGCCTGGATGGGCATCCCAGTCCGCGGCGTCAACTGTACGGTTATGCATCTCTTCTGCAAACTCTTTACATTCACGGAAATGTGGGCGTCCCTGTTTCTGGCCGTTAATCGCTTCGTGGCGTTCACTTATCCGCACCACTACAGCGTGATTACAACGAAACGCGCCATTTTCTTATGGGTGTTATTTGCATGGTTAATGGGGGCGATATTAAGCACTGCCTTAGTCATTCCCGGCGTTTATGGCATGGGCAGTTTTTTCGGTTGGAAAGGATATTATTGCAGCTACATTGGCATTACATCGCAATCGATAACGAACAGTGTCACGAGTTGTGGTGTGTATTTGCCGTTGGTCGGCCAGGGATTTTGTTATGTAACGGTTCTCATTTCGCACCATAGGCAGTCTGCTAAGCATCGATCCGTCAGTTATGAAAAGCGATACGTGACCTTGACATTACTGTTTGGGTCGTATTTGTGGTTTCTGGTCTTTTTTGTTCCACAGCCCATCGTCCTGTACGGATTTCCCGATTTTTATTTCGAAAACAAAGTTCGCGCTGGATGGTTTCAGTTGGCACAAGAAATCGGTTATACCGGAAGTCCTGTATGTAAATCTGAGATAATCGATAATCTTTACAAGGGGAACGGTTGTTCGCTAATTACGCGCAATTTTGCTAGGTTTTTCTGTTGCTGATGAACAAAGATCTGATGCGCAGTGTTAAGAGGAGCCTCTTTGGAATTCTACCACCTTGCGCTACGTTTTCGGCGGAAAAATCCGGCAAGGCTTCCGTTTCTAATTATACCAGTTTTGCTATGAGTCGGAGATTCTGACAGAAAAAAAAACTCATAGTGACTGCTGCGTCGCAACTCCTTAAAAACACGTTAAACTGCGCACAGTGTTGCTTGTTTTGAAAACGAAAAAACGAAATAAATTTGACGCCTGATGCTGCAGGATGCCTCGCAATTTTTTGATAGATACTGACCCAGGCAACGACTAATGACATTCTATCTCAGCTTCAGCAGTTGCGAGACACGATTGTGTTATTCCATATCTGTATTCACATGTTTCCAGGTTCAAGTACGAGCGAGTGTCAATTATTAAGTCATACCTTGCACTTGCAGTTCCAGAAAATCTGTCAATTTATTAATGTTTCACTGTAATTAATTAAACGGAAACAGCACATGAGTCAATTTAATAATTTCTCACTATAATCAACTAGACGGAAGCAGCACGGTTGCCCTTGGAAGAAACAACAGCCTCCGCTCCTGCTATTGTTACTAACCGTGTTGCGATGACTCTCAAACCGTCACATATCACCGATGCTTATCATCGCAAGTGCTATAAAAATGGCAAGCGGTCTGAATCAGACCCATTCTTGTGTGATAACCGTTCGCTGTTTAGCTCTGCATCCCTGCCCAATTCGCCTTTTTGAACCGATAGGTCCTGACTCCTGATCACCTGGTCACCTCTCTACTTCCTATCAAAAGACACAGGAGAGGGCAGAGTTGGTCAGACTGGTCGAAATGCATATGGTCTAAGGTGCCACATGAATGGGACAGTATACTTTCCTTTCTTTTACTACCTTTTCTGTATGTGATGGTGCTGGTTAGAGTGAGTCTTGAAATTCACTATGGCGATCGCGATTTTTAATCGTGCATTATCGAAATGGTAGGTGAATTTACGGACTCACGAGTTAGAAAACCGACAAATGCAATGCTATAGCAAATGACACGCCGTGGGATCGCTTTCGCTATTGCGATCACATTCGCGATCGCACACCTACCGGTGTCCAGAAATCAAAAGTGTAATGGCAATTGTACCGGAACCGGAAACAGCACTGTCGACATTTATCGAAATGAAGAACGCTGGTTTTTATTTTCTCCACTTCAGTGCGCAGTAAATTTCACCTGATTAATTAACTTTTACTCGCAGCGTAGTTTTTTTTATTATGGCCGTTAGGCTGCTGAAAAACTTTCTCGCAATAAATAGCAACCTGAAAGGCTGCAACTATTTGTAACTGATACTGCAAAACATAGGTCTACTGCTAACTGGTGCTGCAATGTTAAATAAGGTTACTTCTCAGCTAACGGAAAAAATGTCGCATGATTACTGTATCCATTGATTACTAGGAACTCTTACAACTTACTATCGGAATAACACTATGTCTGTTTGATCTTAATTTTTTGTATGTTGATACGCAAAAACCGCTGGAAATCCCAGATAGCACGTTTTCTACGCAGCTATCTAGCAACGTAGAAATAGCATGTCCCATGACACATCCTATAGCAGATTTTACGGACACTGGAGATTTGGCATGGCGATCGCACATGCTATCACTGCGATAGCGAAATAATTTCGCTATGGTATTTACGGACACGACTACGTGCGATCACAGTAGCACGATTTACGGACTCGCGGAATACAATTGCTGCTGCAATCACCATCGTACATGTCATGGTAGACCATTTCAGGACGATCTCGTGTGCTATTCGTACTATCGCGATCGTCGTAGTAAATTTCAAGACTCACTCTTATATGTGATTTCGTTTCGCAAGGATCTGGTAATAAGGAGGCCAGAGCTGCTTTTTCATATCACGCGGCAGCGGTTGTGATGTGACGGTCGTTCTGTGATATGTAACTTTTAAAGATCGCCGCAACACGGTTACTTTCTGATGACGTAACGCATCTAGAAGTTAACATTGTTTTTTATGGAAATTGAAAGGGGTTTGCTGTTATCGCGATGATGGTACAGACATTTGCTGCAGCAGTACAATACTGAGGCATAGAAACCTTGTCTTTGATATTCGCACGCCGAGACCGTGTCTCGGTAGCGAAATGCCATCATTTTCCCAGTGCCGGAACCAACGGAGACAACTTGAAAAATTTGTCCTCCACTTGTGGTTATCGGATACAACTTACCCGCAACTCCGCACCGGCTCGGGTATCCTCGTCGCGCATCAACAGTTCTCGCACACCTTGCAAACCGGCATTACCAATCCATTCTACATGGCAACGGGATGGATTGTCTGGTTGGGATTGTCAATTCGCGGAGTCAACTGTACCGTCATGTATTTTTTCTGCCGAGTATTCACGTACACGGAAATCTACGCATCACTGTTTCTCGCCGTTAACCGTTGCATCGCCTTGATCTTCCCGCACCGCTACATTTTAATATCGCCAAAAAGAGCGGTTATCCTGCAGATGCTGCTGCCATGGGAGGTCGCCTTGCTGCTGAGCCTGGGTTGGGTGGTGCCGGGTTTCTTCGGGATCGGGAGCATTTTCGGGAACCGGAAAACGGACTGCGGACATATCGGTGTCCCGTCTGCTCTGATCACTGACACCGTAGCCAGCCTTGGTTTGTGTATTCCGTTAATTATTGAGGGACTTTGCTACGTCACGGTGCTGATCCATCAGAAGAAATGAGCACCGAACGAAGTGTCCGTCACACATCGGAAACGCTTCGTTATGTTCCGTTTGTTGTTGGGCTCATATGTATGGTTCTTGGTGTGCTACCTGCCGCAACCGATTGTCAACTACGCCTTCCCACAATTCTGGTTTGAGAATAAGGTCCGCGCTGGATGGTTCCAGTTTGTGCAAGAAGTAGCGTATGCCGGAAGTCCGGTACGTCAATTGTATTGCAGTTTTTATTTTCTAGGGTGGTCTTTTTATTTGGTTTCTTTATGGTGTACTTTTCCAGGTGTTCCTCTTGTTATTGAACAAAGATCTTATGCGGGACATTATGGATAGCGAAGGGCGTGTACGTTCTCGTTTAACTTCGTAGGCAGTCGTTCCGGCAAAACAGGGTTTCACATCAAACTACATACTCCAGTCAGCCAGCAAGTCCCTCGTAATGTGCAGCAAAAGTTAAGTTCGTTGTAATGTAAATATTATTGGTGCATTGTTTGTCTAAATTTTTATAGCTTTCGAGAATGTTCCATAAGCATCAGGAAGTGTAAGTTTTATGAATTATTCAGCGAATTTGTCAGCATTGCACTAGTAAGGATTAAATTTTTATTAACTACGAAGTGTAACCGCGCTTTCTCTGTTGGTAACCTAATGGCAGTACGTAGCCTACTAAGAAAGTACTTGCAAAATTAGAGTCATAAGTGTGAATATTCTAGAAGTGGACAATGGACATTATTAAAGCCAACTTCACCTTAACGTTTGCCCTATAAACGTTGTTTAAATCCGCATGATTAGGTGATTAAGCAGTGCGTCGATAAATCTGGGAAAACACGTCACAGAACAGCAGAAGCTGGTTTACAGCTGCACCTGTGAATACTTAACCGGAAGTTTGGCACCGAGTGCTGCAACTTTTTTTTGGCATTCAACCAGTGGAAAACTGGAAAAATTCATAAACTTCTGGTCTGTTGCTGAACAGCATTCTTTTGTCGTCGCGTCTTATTTGTATAAAACACATGTGAAGTCTCGCCTAAACAGCACGCAATGCGACTAGCGGAGTTGGATTTAATTGCCATAAACATCCAGGACGGGGTCCCTCATCGAGTAGAAAACACCCGCGCAACGAGAAAAGAAGAAAATTTTTGTTGGATAGCAAGTGACAAGTAATGCAGAGCTTCTAATAGCGCGAACGGCCTTATATAGTTAGCACACATCCTGTCCAACGGCCGTGCCACACACCCATGCAGGTAACGAGTTACGTACGTACAAATATTATATTATGCAAGTTAAGTTTACCTAGCTGATGGTAAATTGTCGCAACTTTGAATCCCTGTATAGTTGTTTCCCTGTTCATTCTGACACCGGCAGTGTGCCGTGTGCATCTTGCTTTCCATGCGTTAGTTTACCGTTAGTAGCATTCGCGGTTTTTCCTTCGCTAAATAAATTTACCACCCACCCGCCCAACTGGGCATCTTACTCGTTCTCTTTATGCGCTGCTACTCGCTTTTGTCGTTAACGTTTATGTCATTCGCCAATAAAGGGGGGCGAAGGGACCGGGCACGGGCGGAAGGTGCCGGCAGTGAGCAATCTGTACCGCACGGTAAGATACTCACCTGTAACTGCGCACTTCCGGTCATGCCGGAAGTGCGCAATCGGTCTGCTTCCGGCCAGCTTCAAACCTCACAAACCGCACGCGGAGTCTATCTTTTGCTGACTGCACCGGATCCTTAGATGCAAATTCCCGTACAATTTAATATACAGATTTTCTCTGTAGCTGATCCTCCACATTCCCGGAGTTAATTTAGGAAAAAAACGGTTGAAGCGTTGGAAATTGAGTATCGACAGATTATCATGCCAATTGACGTTCATTTTGCAGTTTTTAAACTGCACAGAACAAATTGCTAGTTATAACTAACAAACACAACCGAGAATATAAATTATTTATTTGCCTGCGTTGCTTTATTGCAGTTAACGAGCACTGAGTACCGTTCTGATCATTGAAAATGTCAAACTTGTACGATACACATGTGTTATTCGAAGCTGATGCAAATAAACTTTTACATTGCACAGCGTAAAATACATTGTCATTCCAGTCCGTGTTGTGATGATATCGAAAACGATTGAAGAATCTGATAGTCACTGAATTCGATTGTTTCGAAGCTATCGACACAGACCTGCTGCACTGCGTTAGTACTTTTGCTGGCTGTTAGTGAAATAAGTGAAATAAGTGAAACAGCATACCTTCGATCGCTTAACCCTTTTTGCTGTGTCACGGGCAAGATAAACACAGCAAAACTTAAAAATGCATGTATAAAGACAATTCAACCGTTCAGCAGTCTGTCGATAGTAGATACATTCATTCCCTTGGTTCCAACCTTTGCCAAAATGGAGAGGAGTGCTGTGGTAGGTGGGCGGCAGTTTGTAGCGTCTGTTCTCTTATACAGTGCGTTGCAATCCACACGTGCTCTCGCTGACAGCGAAGTACCGTTTCATGGATGCGATTATAACCGGTATAATTACCTGGAGTGCAATACCGACACCTTCAGGCTGATGGACACGCTAAACCTTTCCAGCATTCCGAAATGGATGCAAGGCGTCCGTTTCTCCGGATCCTGTCACAATTACAGCCATGGTACCCATTGTTACGGATTACCCCCGAATGTAACCCCATTACCGCGCCGCCCTGGATTCTCTACGTACGGTGTTCACTTTGCCGGATTTAAGGCAATGGACGGTGGCAGAATTCCCCTCAACCGCTTTCTAAGCGAAAATAAGGACGTCATCAGGTTCATAACGGTTAGCAACAGTCATATTGGGTATATTGATCGGGAATTATTTGCTGGATTTGCTGGACTTCGGAATGTGAACCTTCGAGGAAACGACATCCATAGCATCCGCGCGGATGCCTTCGAAGGTTTGACTGACGGAAGCGATCTTCAGCCGGTACTGGTGGCGCTTGATCTTGGTGGTAATCGGCTGGAGCAATTTGACTGGAGTGCGCTGCATTCATTAAAAGATTGCTTGGTATGTATGCTTAACGCTTCAATTTTTAAATAAGTAAATTAATATTTTAATTGCTTTTATCAGTTTCTAAATTTTATAAATCCAACCGAAATTGTAAACTGAATTTGTAGGAGCACCTAGATTTAAATGAACAGACCCCTGGATTGACGTCGATTACCCGTAGCGGCTCGAGCACCTTTGCCACTCTTATGCGGACGTTAGATTTGCGAAGAAACCGGTTACAATCCCTTCCTGACTGGCTCCTGTATAATGTAGGTCTTGATAATTCCAGTTTACGATCTTTTGACTTTCGCTACAACGCCTTCTGCGAAAATCCGGCTGAAGTTATCCATGGTTGCGGCTGCTGTGATTTGAAAAATTTGGTTCGCTGGGCGACGACCGTTAAATCCAATTTTATCAACGAGTTTTCGCGGCCATCCGTCTGGTTCAGCATGATATGTGAAGATAAACCAGTACAGTTTACCTATGACGCCGTGAACATTGCTTCGGGTTTCGCATCATCAATCGCGCTGCTGGATAACACACTGAAGCATTGTTAACTGTAATACTAATAACTGAACAATTCGTTCATTTTTAAATTTATATCATGGCTCATGCTCAGCTTTAATTAAATTGTACCTGTACTTCTACCGATATTTTTTGGCCATGGCATAATGAGAGTGAAAGTTCTTGGATTTTTCAGCGGATTTATTATTGTTGCGCTACTGATAACTAACATGGTTTTTAATAAATATGAAGTGGCGCCCTCGCGTCTGCATCGCTATTGCCCTTTAAAAGGGTGTCACTGTGAAATTATATTAAAGTCTGTGCAGTTATGCGAATGGTAGCGTTTATTGTTACAAACGTGGCCTCAGCTTTTGTCGTACATGTGCCGATTAAATTCTAGCCGCTTGACGATGGTGTCGTACACAAATATACAGCATAAACCGGAGAAAGCTAACCACATAAAAACAGCACCACCTGTATATACGATAACAGCCTGTTCGTGCTTACCGTAATTATCGAATTAGAGCCCCAGGGTTACAAATATTTCAAACGCCCCACGGGGTGGGCTCCAATTACGGGCATGGGCTTGTATTTCGGAGGGGGCTTCAATTTTTCAAACTAACTTTTTTGGCGTTCGCTAACATGGGCTATATAGCATTTAATTAGCCCATGGGCTTATATTTCGGGGGGAGCTTATAATTTTCAAATGACTTTAAGGGTGGGCTCTAATTACGGGGGGAGCTTCTGTTTCGGGGGGAGCTTATAATTCGATAATTACGGTAACTGACAGTGCTGTACCAGTCTACAGCAGTTTAAGTATGTAATTTAAAGTTGTAGTTTTAACTTGCTATATGTATTTTTAAGTTTATGTGGTTTTAACTTTGTAAGTATGCTCAGTATAGAACAGTATAACTCCTACTTAGTTTTAACCATCGTGGATGCCAAACCTGGCCGTTATTGCTTTATTTGCATAGCCCTACCGGCAAGCACAACAACTGACGTCACTTTCAAAACGATAACAAAATTCACAAGCTTGGAGAATACATAAGCCATATCCTGGGCCATTGTTAAACAAGCTCCGTTTGCCGTCACGCGCTCCCAGTGTTTATTTACTTTGCAAAGCAGTGATCCGGTAGCAACTACCGTGAACGCTGTTTTTCTGCGAGCAACACTAATTGTTCCAGCACGGAATGCCAGCAGCCGAAGCCCTAATAGCTGCCGGTGCGCTATTGTTGTGAAGCTTTTATTGGAGGAAGCGGAAAAGAAAATTTCGGAAAACAAGGCGATAAAACAACGAGAAGTAGGGAAGGCGGTATATAAGTGCAGCCAGGCATCGGTCAAAATCATATCGTGAGAAAATCAATCTGAAATCTGGTATTCAGAAGAGATATTGAGCGATAACAAGGAGTTGACCGAATCGTGGTAACTACAGCCTACAGGTAAGATACTTATGGTGATTCGTTATCGGTATGAACTCCCTTGAAAGATATACCGCATTAGAGCAGAAAGTTGACGAAAGTTAATTTTTAACAATAATGCAAGGCTGCATGGTTTTGCGGCTGCTTTGGATTTTGGGTAATAGTTTGATGTTGGTTACAGGTAAAGTTTACTCGCTACAATGTACACCAGCTCGATTTCTGTGATTTGCGCGGTTCTGTTGGTCGCCCAGTTGGCCACTGTCGCCTTGGCAGAAAACGAAGCCGCGGCCGAGGAGTTCAACCTGTTGCGTGCCAAACGTGGTAGCATCGGTAAGTCTACTTTCCTCAGTAAAGGTTTAATTTAAAGATTTAAAGGCAAAATTTAAAGATTTTTCTCTGTAGACTTCTGGTGCACTATCGGATGTGGAGCCTACTGGACCTGCGTGTTTGGCAACAAAGGCAACGCCAGCAAATGCGGCTCGCAGCCATCGAGATGCCAGTGTAACGGTTTCGCTTGGCAGGGCGGGAAATAAATGCCGAGACAGCGCAGAAAGAGCTACCAGTTTTTACCTATGTAAAAGTTAGAAACTGACGCTTCGTATGTACAGTGTACATTATTTTAAATTGTTGCAGTTATTTGCAGCTATGTTTGCATCGGATTAACATTAACGTTGCCTAATCGACGTACGTAATTGTTATTTGCTCTTGTCGATTTCACAGTAAAAAAATTACTTTGTGTTGTTTTTGGCTGGCTGGACCTCGGCTCATGAAAAAATAGTTTATTCAGATCACAATCGGCGCATCCAAATCACATATCTCTTGGCCTCCGCGTCTGCACGTAAACAGCACTTTCTTATAGAATTTTTTATTAACAAGCTAACCAGTCTATGTACAAAACGCAAGGAAAAGTGCCTTCTAATATGTACAGAATCTACAGATGTATACAAACAACGCCAGAAACGACCGTTGTTTCCGTGTTTAGCGTTCAGAAGAGCCCTGGTAATCGATCCGACAAACACTAAAGCACAATGCGTCTGTTGAAACAGCCTCGTGCCTAGTCTGCAAAATTTTTACAGTTCCGGCAGTTTTTTAGCTGCACTGATTTCACTACACCTTTAACAGTGAGCCACTAAGCAAACCAAAATACGTGAGGCACATAACAGTATCTGTATACTGGAACAATGCAGAGATACTCCGTTTATAAAGATCGATAGATTTAGATTCCCCGCTTTCATAACGCCGTACAAATGTGATGTTTCAGAATTAACGAAACATTTATTATACGGATGCCGCTTCATTTTTTTCTCGAATAGACGAAGACACTCAACGTAAGTGCTACAGCGGGTCCAATCTTCCGGTAGTATTCACGACGTGCAACATTTACATTTACCTAATGCTCAGTGCTAAATCGCTGCCAAATTGCATATTAACATTTTGCTTCCGTTTCTTATCTCTTAAACGTGCGCTAATAAATTTAAGAAAATTATTGTTTCTGTTATTAGTGCACATGTTCCTTTTCTTAATAGTGTTTACAGGCGGTATCGAAATGGATGCATTTTGTCGGCCGTGGATAGCGTATTTGTTGGCCCTGCAGATTTTGTTTGTCGCTACTTATGCGGCCTCCATCTCGGATTCTCGGGTGGCACGCGCAGTCCCGTCAGCCGCTGATCCCAAACTGCAAGGCGTCATGCAGCTGTGCTTCCAGCCGTATTGGCAGTGTTTGAAACCGGAAAATCTCATGCCAGAGAAATTAGACGGCGGTAAACCCCGTTTCAAAGCTGATACGATGAACGGCATCGCCGATTCTTTTAAGAACTACATGAACTGCTTGAATCCCTATCTGGAATGCCTGATACGCGTAACAAAACCGGGAAGTGTTGCAACTTAAGAACGCATGGCGGCATACCGGCTGGAAATCTCACATCGAGCCGACATCAGTCACACTCAGACCGAACTGACAGAATGCTTACGATGCAACGTCTTTTTTTTGTGATCATATTATCAGCTTGTATTCCATCGCGTTACTGTACCTGTACGGTATAAAGCAGTTTTAGCGTTTGGTCTTTTCTGCTTCCGCCAAAATCTGAAAACAGCTTACGCTGTTAATCAGGGATTTATAACGGGATTTTCAGTTGAGTTGCAATTATGACGAGTTTCCTAAATTTTTCTTGGCTGCTTAATACGTCTGGACTCTGCATTACTAAAACTGCATACCTGTCGCAGTTTGAGGAATTGATGATGATAACAATTGTAAATATTAAATTTGGATGGTGGAGAGCAATACAACAAACTAAACAGTCCGTATACAGCACACGTGTTCTAGCTTTTGCATATCGATACATCTGTCTTAAATTGTTTTACCAGCTGTTGCTCTTTGAGACCACTGATGTTGCACTAGAAGTATTACAGACACAAATTCAGGTATAAGCAGCTACACGTAAACTCAAGTTTACTCAATAAAGTAAACAAATCAAATTTTTTCTTCACTGTCGACGGATGTGCTGCAGAAACAGCAGCAAAATACCAGCCGCATCGGGTTGTAATAAGAAAGCTGCTAGAAGAAATGCGCCGACAAAGAGACAATAAACCTTTGTCATAAACAGAAATTGTGATTTCAGCAGTTTCTTTGTAGCCAGCAAGTTTCATCAACGGAAACCGTATGTGTTAATTGCAATAAAGGATGGCACGGCAAGTAAAGCTTGTAAACGATCGAACACTGCTACCTGCCAGTAAATGGTCTGTTTTACGTTAAAGACAACCGTTGGAAATGGTGTCTAGAGAATGCCGTGAAGTGTTAACAAAATTAAGTAAAGGAAATACTCAAGGTAAGCGTCCGTAAATCGATATAAAAGATATTTGTACCGTTATGTGTTTGTTCGATAGATATTCTTCTATTCCAAAATCAAATTAACGTTTTCGCACCGGTCAGTCAATAATACCAAAACGAGAAACTACATTGTTTACGTCATCTGTTGTGGTTGACAGTCAACAATGGACTGGTACTACAAACCGCCACGAATTTTGTGCAACGTTGTTGCTAATGAAGTTTCTATGGATAAGTGGCCGTTCATCGACCTTCGCACAACGCCAGATCGACCGGTCAACACCGCGTGGCGATAGCCATAATTGCAAAACGGTGAGCGATTCCCCGGAGTGCTTCCGACCCTACTGGAGGTGCATGAAACCCGAGAACACCCTCATACTAGAAGATCCGACCGCTGACCATGACGATAAAATGGAGAAACTTAGCGGCAGTGTCGGTACTTTCCACAATTACATGAGCTGCTTAAATTCTTATCTGGATTGCCTTGTACGCATATCCATACCTGGTACCGGACAATATGGAGACAAGAAGTTGGTTGTCTTGAAAGGAAGTCGCCTGGAGATATAGAGAAAGGTCCGCTGACAATGTTATCCCAGTTACTGTTCTATTTAAAGCTTTATGTACACTGCCTGTACAGTATTTGAGAACGAATCCTTCTTTAGGGACAAACTGCAAAGGCGAACCGTTATCTTATTTAGGCCAGATGCTTCGTCGTAAAGATATTCTTTTTTCCAGAATGTTGACGCGAGTATTAGGAATGATGTTTATCTAAAAAGTAGTAAGATCCATTAACAGAAAAATTTTTAATTTCTAAGCCGATGACCGCGCTATCGCTGATAATTACGGATGCTGTTAATTTTGCACCGTGTAGCTCCTGTGTTAACCCGAAACTATGTCGGCTACTTTTCAGTCGAGCTTACACAATAATTCAGACTGCCAAAGTTAGCCGATGCTATCGGAAAAGATTAGCAATTTCGATAGTGAAATTTTATACGTAAAGACAGTCACTAAATAAAATTTCCATCTGCTCTATTTGTACGGTTGCACTGGCAATCCAGCCATGTACAAATAAAACGATAATCAACGCTGTGGTGCTCTGTTGTCGTTTGCAAGTATGTCTTATAATATTCAAGCTCGTATATAAACCGCTGCCAATTTAATAAATTTATGTATTCTCTCCAAATTTCTCTCGGATAGCTTTCAATGTTAGCAATATTTTTAGTCAGTTTTTGTAATATGGAATATGTGTAATGTACTCCTTATTCACTATTATGGCGCCTGCAAGATCACCGGACTGCATGACAATCGTATTGGTATATTTGTTGTACAGCACATTTCAGTTTTGTCAAGTTCCTTCTGCCAACTGTGAATGCATTTCTAATTACACAAACGGCTGGAACGAATATCATTGCGATACCAATATCTTTAGGATGATGGCGGCGGTGAACGTCTCAAAAATTTCGGCTCTAGTGCAGATGGTTTATTTTTGGTGTAACCTGCGAGGCACATATTGCTACGGGTTGCCGCGGAATGTGTCTGCTCTGCTGTTTCTAGGCGTGTTATATAAAATGACCTTGGAAGGATTAATTGCCACTGATGCTGACAGGATTCCCATCACCCAGTTTCTAGCTAACAATAAACATATCATAAAGTTTTTGGTGATTAGAAATAGCCATATTAATAACATCGACCGAGACTTTCTCGTTGGGTTTTCAGTGCTGCGCACCCTTGACTTGAGTCACAACGATATTTATTCTATCAGTGCCGATAGTTTTGAAAGTTTAACGGACGGCCTTCCGATTTTAAATAGCTTAGATCTGGAGCATAACCAATTTGAAGAATTCGACTGGAGCGTAATTTATCCATTAAGAAACTGTTTGGTAAGTTGTTACTTCCGGTATCGTTATAATGTGTATAGAAATAACGAGGTTACGAGCTTTACATGCAATTTGGGGGCTACGGCCCACTCCAAAGGAGAAATTAGCAGCAAAGAAGGCCGCTGGATTTGATCAAATTCAAATTTTCTTGCTATGAAGCAGCCAGAATAGATACCTTTCCGAAAAATATTTAGGAGACCCTCCGTCTCGTGAATCAACAACCAGGGTTGCGCAACTTATACCACAGTGGATCCACCTTTCAAACGTCTATCCAGCTGTTATTCCTGGGATTTAATCGTCTAACATCAATCCCTGACTGGATTTTATATAATATTGGCCTGAAGAATTCCAGCATGCGCCTTTTCAGTTTTCACTCCAATGCCTTTTGTGAAAATGCTGCCGAGGAGAATCCTGGTTGTGGTTGCTGCGACATGGAAAATTTAGTGCGCTGGACGCTGAATGTTTCTAGCGAAATTTCGCCGCCGTTGATCTGGTTCAGCTTGAAGTGCGGGATGTTCGTGAGGACAATTACTAATGACCCCAGTGTAGTGGCAGCCAACCATGGTTTCCCAATCACGACGCTGGGGAATTCGTTCGAGCATTGTAATATATTTAGGCAATAAATCGAGCAAGTGTTTCAAAATTTAGCCGTTTCTAAATCTTACGAAATGCAGGCCAAAGCAAAACCACAACCAAGTTGCCGCCAATAATCACCGTCCTTTCCACTTTTAAATCACCATCTTCTAATACCCACGTAATTAATACCGACTTTCGTTGCGAAAATGGAAACTCGCTCAAGATCAACTGTTCCGCGGGCCGTTTGCAACTCTCGGAACCTGACCTGTTTCGTGCCACGGCCGCCGAAGCCATTTTCTCTAGTGACGGAACATTCAGCTGCATCAGCAAGCTCTACGATCTCCACTTAATGGTGCTGGAAATGCTGGAAATCTCTCCCCGGACGGAACCGATGACTGGCCGCCAAGATATCATCCAGGTCCAATGTCGAAACCGGCTCTTTAGCATCAACACACGTGACCCGGAAACGTCTGGTGCTAGCAAACTGGTATTCCGCACCGATTTATATCCTCAATGCTTTGATAAATTCACACATTTTCTTCGCTACATCAACGACAATTTCATCACTGAAGCAGAAGTTGCTGCTCCCGACTTAGTAGTCGAACACGAGTTTTCTTTAAGCGCCGGGAAAAATTGCAGTGGGTCCAATTTGCAAGGAGACATTGTGTCGGTTAACTGTACAGATGGAGTCTTTGTATTTTCACACAACAACGACTCCGCCACTGCCGCGATTGGTGTCACAGTTCGCAGTGACGAATCTTTGGACTGCCGCGTGACTTTTGCAGCGATCCACGAATACATCTTGCACGAAGCGGAATCTACTATCTACGCACCGGATGTACCGTTGCCCAAAGCCATTGTTGCCGTTTGCCATAACGGTCATGGATTTGTATCAGAAGGCCAGCCACGGCGATCTAAGAAACTGGTGCTGGAGTACTTCTCAACGCCAAGTAGACGGTGCCGTGATACTTTTATCCGGTTTTTAACGTATCTTTTCAAATTATAGCCCTCAATTTTCTAGCTTTTTTAATATTTATTTCAGTTGAAATGTATGGCTGTGTTCATTGTCAAGTAATATTTCTGGTCGTTGCAAATGCACGAAATGTCTGAGCGTCGGGTATGAACAAACTAATATTATTTCCATTCACATTATTTTTCGATCTCAAAAACAGCAAACAACTGATTCACGGATAATCGTAGCTCTTACTTATTTGGCTTATTTATTTTTAGTTGGCTTGTTTATTCTATTACTGCATTAAGGGAATGGAATCAACAAGTATTTTAGTATTAATTATTTATTTCTAATGAACTGGATTGTACTGTAATACGCAGAACCTGGATGCTGATGTAAATAAACGCTTACATTGCGCGTTATAACAGGAATTGTAATTCTATTTTGTGTTATGATGCTATCGAAGAAGACGATTAACAAATACGATAATCAGCAAAGACTTGATTATTTTTCAGCTATCGACAAAAGTTGGCTATGTAACAGTAGTAATTTCGCTCGCTTTTAAAGTTAAGTGAAACAGCAGTTATCATACGCCGCTTTTGCTGTGTCACGGACACGATGAACACAGCAAAACCCAAAAACGTCTTTATAAAGACGCTCTCTCAATGAACAGCTGTCCAGTGACTTCTGTTCTAGACACTTTCGCCACCCGGTTTTCCTTCTTTCGTTACAATGCGCGCGACGCTTGCGCGACGTTGGCAGCTTATAGTACCTGCCATCCTGTTCAGTGCGTTTGAATCAGCGCACGTTCTCGGCGCCAGCGAAATAACCAATCATGACTGCGCCTATAACCGATACAATGACCTTGAGTGCTATGCAGAAGCTTACAAGCTTAATTATGGACACGCTGAACGTTTCCAGTATCAGAGCATCGGCACAAGGTGTCAGTTTCAGCTGCCGTAATTCTCAACGCGGCGCCTACTGCTACGGATTATCGCCGAATGTGACGCCTTTGCCGCGCCGCCCCGGATTCACCACATATGGTGTTTCCTTTGACGGATTCAACGCAACGGATGGCGGCCGCATTCCTCTCAACCGCTTTCTAAGTGAAAATAAAGACATCATCAGATTTATTACGATTCGAAACAGTCAGATTGGGTATATTGATCGGGAATTTTTCGCTGGATTAGCGGACCTTCGGAGCTTGGATCTTCGCGAGAACAACATTCGCAGCATCACCGCGGATGCCTTCGAAGGTTTGACTGACGGAAGCAGCTATCAACCGGTGATGGTTGCGCTCGACCTTGGGTACAATCAGCTGGAGCAATTCGATTGGAGCGCACTTTACCCGTTAAAAGACTGTTTGGTATTCCTTTTCAAAACTTACAATAAAGTTTAATCTGAATTTAACATTTTTAACTGAATTTTGTTTTTAATTCAAGAATTTAGAACTTCTAGAAATTTTAATTTTTTGTCTGCGTTTTCGTGACTAAGCATGTTTTTACATTGTAGGAGATCCTCAATTTAAATCACCAAACAACAGGACTGAAGACGATAACCCGTACCGGCTTGAACACTTATGCAAGTCTTCTTCGGGCGCTAGATTTGCGAGGAAACCGCTTACAATTCCTTCCTGACTGGCTTCTGTACAACATCGGTCTTGATAGCTCCAGTTCACGATTTTTTGACTTTCGCTACAACGCCTTCGCGAAAATGCCGCTGAAGCTATCCATGGTTGCGGGTGTTGCGATGTAGAAAATTTGGTGCGCTGGGCGAAGAACGTCACAGCGGATTTCGTCAATGAGTTATCACGGGCATCTGTCTGGTTCAGCATGGTTTGTGGAGAAAAACCAGTACAATTCACTTATGATGCAGCGCACATTGCTTCCGATTATGCAACCTCTATTGCGCTGCTGGAGAACACGTTCGAACATTGTAAGCCAAAAGCCAGTAATGAATTCTTCATTACAGTATTCAGTTTCGAATTAATTCTGTATAAATTTTTACTGGTGATCTTTTTACGTGTAGGCGGCTCTACAGCTGTTTCCCGCTAACGGCCCGGCCTCCGACGCTGGCATTATTTGCTTTAATGACCGGTTGCCGGGAGAACTTTCCTTTTATGCATGACTGAAATTTGCTACCCGGTCACCGCCCTGGGCACGGCCATCTCCAAAAACCAGATCAGCGCCACTGACCGTGGAATACCGAGAAATATTGACTTTCCTTCGCGAACAGTTCTTAGATTTTTTCTCTCAATACTGTATGTGCTCATGATAAATCCTTCTGAACGTATTTCTCTGACTTGTGAGCCTAATTATAAAGCATAGCAAAACAGGCAATATACGAAATAAGTTTCCATCGACAGCCCTCCTTCCATAATGGGTTAGGCAACAAAAGATATTTGGTTGTGCATTACTTCAAGTAACAGAGATGCAACTTAGGAAAAAATCTTTTTGGAATGTCTCTTTGTAGTTATAGCGAAACATACATTATTTATACGTTATTTATTGCAAACGTTCTATTGTATATCACATACGTTATTTATGTACGTCATTTAGATGTCGGTTAATATAACGTTGGCAGGGAGTACTGCAAATACAAGTACTAAGAAAACAAAAAAGCGGAAGACATATTGATAGGCTACTTTGTACTGTAATACGGTAATTCTATATAATCTCTCGTATTTTTGCAGATATTGTATTCTGCGTTGATGCACCTCCAAAATCGAAGGTGATGACGAGCGATATTTCGATCAGTAACTTAGTATTTTTGTGAAGAAGCAATACAGCAGAAATTGTAGCAAAGTAATATTAGCACTAACAGCAGTACATATATAATAAAAGCTGTAAGGAGCAAATAATATTGTAGTGATTATCGGTGCAAATGCCGCTCGACTGTTTCCTCATTCTAGAATAGTATTTTGATAACAAAGCGGTACGAATTCTATGATTTGCTCAATTTATCTTTATTGCCATAATAACGACGTTGTAACAACGCTTAATAATTTGAAGAATGTAGTGAAAGATTTGTTGTTGCAGACCTTACATTGCGATACATTTGTATTACGAACAAATGACAAAAACTACATCAGCAACGTGGCACTTCGTCACTTCCGTGTGCTATTGCGTTGCAATCTGCATAACTGGGATCATGGCTGATAAAACGTTGATACCGTTTATGTTTCAAAGCAGAACCTGTATTCGTCTTTGTTAACATAATGACGATGGCAACTGCAAAGCGACTATAAAGCACTGACTGATTCTGCGTGGAATATTCGGAAGCACTTGAAGTCTACTGCAAGTATTGTGCTTTTTCTAGCGTTGCGACACTACGAAATCGCTGCTGTCGTCTCACTTTTTTCTCCGCCGTAGTGCCTTAATTTTGCTTGAGCTTGGTTGAAAAATGAGTACCAAAACGCTTTTATTTGCCGTTGTTGTGACTGTATTCGCGGCTGGGCACGCATCAGGTAAGTACTAGCGGGTGGAAAAAACCGCTTTGAACAGCATGCAGTATCTGTGAGAATTTTGTGTATCTTGAGAATATCTGCGTATCTTTCAAAAGAGATACGTAGGCATTACACAAAGTACATTTAATTTTTTGTGTAATGCCTATCAATCTATCATAACATCTTTTGCAGAGGCGCAACACAAGCTAACTGGAAACGAGCATATGGGCGCTCACTCCGGCGTGAATGCTGAACCGATTTCGGCGGAATCAAATCGAGCCACAACAAGTATACAATGGGGCTGGACCGACATGACCGGCACAATGTTCTTTGACGCGGAGCACTGGGTGACCTACTATTGTAATTTGTACAACTATCAGTCGCTGGAGCCACTTACCAATGGAATCATTGGAAGCCTAAGAAGCCGCTACAGCAACTATTACTGGCACGTGGTGGTCGCAAGCGGCTCCTGTGGTTCTCATATATCAGTAAGTCAAAAGGCCAACAAAACTATCTGAAAGCATTAGAATTTAAATCTTAGAAACTGAGCGCGTCAACACCGGCGGGACGATAGGCCAATTGTCTTGTACCGTCGAGTGTCAGGTCACGGATTGAGTTAGAATACTGTACTTGAATCGTATGATTGTATAATGCCTGCAGCTGACAACTGTTTATTTCAAATTTAATGACATTTAGGACTTCGAAAACTGCGAGAGTTTGAAAGCTCTGCAGAAGTACGAAGGTGGTTAGCTAGTATGTACTGTGCACGTGATTTTCGCAAAAACTGTAAAGGGAATGCTATTTTATCATCACTGGATTATTGAATTCTACGTCCTTTGCATCAGTTTTCCCTTAGAGTTTTAATGGTTATTCGTAATCGTGAGTAAATATAATTCTTTAAAGCTCACAACTAGCACGAAATATTATTTCCGTAATTCATACTACTTGAGAGCTTCCCAAAATTCCAGACATTATTTATAACGTGTTCCAAAAAAAGATATTTTGAAATAAGCGCGGTTTTATCAGTATTCTGTATTAATGCTTTTGGTGTCATCCTGTGAGACTTTCTATCGAGGAAAATATAACGGGAACTGCTGTAATGCTGCTACATTAATGACATTATTTCATCTTTTGCAGATGGACAGCCATCCCGGAACCAAGTATCAAGCAATCTGCAAGGGCCACTGGTGGACTATCTGGGGTCTTAATCGGACAATCACTTCCTCTTCCCAGGTGTGAATGCATTTTATTCTCACTCCCTGAGTTCCAGGACAGCCAACATCATCTTCTAAAACTACAGAAAGATAACCGACATGCTTCATCTTGTGTTTTACCAAATGTTAAAAAAAATTTCACGACCTTCCTCGCACGACTTTAAAATCGTTTGATCTTTGATATAACTGCAACACAAACCGTAAAACTGATTGTCGCGAGAAAAAAAGCTGTACAAGCATTGCCGAAGTAAAGAATTTTTTGAAACTTTAAAATACATATTGTCCAAGATTCATTTTAAAGTTTGAAAAAATTCCATTTTCTGAACATTGTATGTACATGTATCTCCATATGTACAAAGTACATGGGTATGCCTTTTGCAGAAACAAAAACAAAACAAATAATTATTTGATTTTTAACGCAGGACACTGGAGTTCAGTAAGTTTACCAGTTTTCACATTGAAATTGTAACCCGAAGTTGCGCGCCAAAGCGCTGTAATAAATAACGCTGTTTGAAAGAAACTTTCCAATGATTCTCTTAATGGGTAGAACGCGCTCCAGTCCAGTTGTTCCAGATGATTCCCCGCAAGATTGACATATGGACCTATGGCACACTTCGAACACGACATTTTTTTACGGCCATCCATAGGTGATGTAGTGCACCTTTCCGTTGTAGCCTATGTATTCGCAAAGGCTGTTTATACAATAACAATATTTTTCCGCCATGCCCGTAGTTACCTGCATTTTCATTATTTTGTGCGGGTGGCCTGTAGTAACTCGTAGTCTCGGTAGTTTGTGTAGTTTTCGGTAGTCCCGGTAGTTTGCGTAGCTTTCTGTAGTTTCCTGTAGTCTCGGTAGTTTGCGTAGTTTTCTGTAGCTTCGTGTAGTCCCGGTAGTTTGCGTAGTCCTTTCCTGTAGTCTCGGTACTTTGCGTAGTCTTCGGTAGTCCCGGTAGTTTGTGTAGTTTTCCTGTAGTCTCGGTAGTTTGCGTGGTCTTCGGTAGTTTGCGTAGTCTCAGTAGTCTCGGTAGTTTGCGTAGTTTTCGGTAGTCACCAGTAGTCTCGGAAGCCTGTGCAGTTTCCTGTAATAACTCTAGTTCGTGTAGCCAGCGTAGTCGCCTGTAGTTTTGTAGTTTTTGTGGCTCCGAGTAGTGTCGGTAGTCTTTGTAGTATACGTAGGCGCAAAACTACCGAGACTACAGCAAGCTACGCAAACTATCGAGACTACCGAAGACTACGCAAAGTACCGGGACTACAGGACACTACAGAAAACTACGTAAACTACCGGAACTACAGGAAAATACAGAAAACTACGTAAACTACCGGAACTACAGGAAAATACAGAAAACTACGTAAACTACTGACTACAGGAAACTGCAGAAAACTACGTAAACTATCGAGACTACAGCAAACTACGCAACTACCGAGACTACAGGAAACTACAGAAAACTACCTGGACTACAGGAAACTACAGAAAACTATGCAAACTATCGAGACTACAGGAAACTACAGAAAACTACGCAAACTACCGGGACTACTGGAAACTACGTAAACTACCGAGACTACAGGAAACTACAGGAAACTACGTAAACTACCGGGACTACAGAAAACTACAGAAAACTACGTAAACTACCGAGACTACAGCAAACTACGCAAACTACCGAGACTCCAGGAAACTACAGAAAACTAGGTAAACTACCGGGACTACAGGAAACTACAGAAAACTACGTAAACTACCGAGACTACAGCAAACTACCGAGACTACAGGAAACTACAGAAAACTACGTAAACAACCGGGACTACAGGAAACTACAGGTTACTACCCAGACTAAGAGTGACTACTAAGATTTTCGGAAGTCGACAAACAGAATATGATGTGTACAGGTTACTACGGTGGCTACTGGACTACGACCTGGAAGTCATAAAAAATTGTTGTGTTCGAAGTGTGCCATATACATATTTAGACATATACCAGCACTGGCCGGTAATCTTCTGTCAATCTTGTGAAAGCATCCACGCTGACACTGTGAATGTCATTATACGTACTTAAGCCACAATGTATTAATCGTGGCAAATTGCGCTGCTAAAATTACGCTAAATTACCATTAACGCTTTCCATATGAGATTGTATTTGCATTTATCATATTTCCGAAGATACCCTTTATGGACTCTTACTTGGTCCATAAAAACGCACCAGACTCAGCCATGTTTGTATTTTAATTGTTCAACTGATAAATTCCTTGAACGTCGGAAGACGTCTGGTTGTGTCCCCATTTGTGACGATTATCTTGCACGATACTGCACGATACTGCTTTCATCGGCAGAGCATTCGGTTGCCGGAAGTCGTTGTCGCAGCATGCCAAAAAGGTCATGCGTAGGTGCTGGAAGGTCACCTACACTGGCTACACAAAATGCGATTAATACTTGCAGTACTTTTTGAACTTGAGCCGTCATAATTGTGATTTGTATCGATCTAAGCAGTCTTGTATATTACTCGTATGTTTCTTGACGTGCTGTGTCACTTGTCCGAACGTTTCTGTATTTTAAAGGATTATGTCACAAATTTACTGTTTTTACTATAGGAACTGTACCTACATGCTGCAGCAGCTTCGATATAAAAACATTCTCTAAAAAATCAAAATTGTATTCAATTTTACTGGATCACACCGGTGGAAAACAATACGTTAATACTTTCAATTTTCGACACTTTCAATACTTTATTCGTGCAACGCACTGGTATCATCGGAAAAGCTTCAAGTGAAAAACTACATACTGCCATCGTAATTAAACAATGGTATCAATAGCAATTCACCAGAACCATCTCATATGCTAAATCCTTTAGCCGAGATCGGGCGCACAAGAGTTGCTCCTTCCGACATGACCGCCGGTACTGCAGACACTACATGACTGCAGCCATTGTAAATCGTGTCCATTTGTGCATTTGAACAGCATATCATTCTCATGCGCCTTCATGTCATAACCTGCAAAAAAATCACATCATTTCATCCACTTCATTATTTTTTTCTAAAGCAAACTTCACGCGTTGATAAAGCCAAGTGATGTCTCTACTTCTTTTTATGATTAGTGAACTGTGTTAGCGAAAGAAAAAATCAACGTGCTTTGTTGAGCGCGCAGCAAAGAATTCGAAAGAAACGAATAAAAACGGCGCGGATACCGACCTACCAGTATGTATATGAAATTGGCATTTGATAATAACTGAGGTTTAAAAAACAGACCTATTGCAGCGGAAATTCCGTTTAGCCACTGGTGGCTAAACGGAATTTCCGCTGCAATAGTGCAATTTCCGCGGAATTTCCGCTGCTGCTGCTGTTTCGAACACTGGCAAAAGCTTACCGAGAGGACGGAGAGAGTATCCACAATAGTCAAGACCTGCTGTGCAACCCGCCGCATTGGTAAACGCCACCACCAAAGAAAACGCAGTGAAAACAAAAATTATCTTCATTTCCGTGGAAGATAAGTAAGTGAGTGTCAAGTAACTAAGTAAGTATAATTAGTAAGTACAAAGTATGAACAAAGTAAGTGGAAAGCAGCGGCGAGTTTTATCTAGACATAGTCTCAGTAGTAGAACTCTTTTGCTTTTCAGCATGACAATGAGAACATTAAAAATACCAAAACGTTTATATAGCACTAAACCTAGGTCGTAGAGCAAATATACTATTACTGCCGTACTAAAACTGTACACACTACATACCATGGATCGAGTGATCAGCGGTGCAGTCGATACCGATCGAACCTGAGGTTTACCGGAAGAGTGAGTCACTTGCATAAGCTTTGTGCGCGTTAATGACTATCATTGCGATGCCGACCATATTCTGTGGACTACAAACTACAAAGAAAGTGTTAATCATGCTACTATTTCCGCTTGAAATCTCCGGTTTTCCATAGACGTTAGCGCATTAGAATGATAACGCAGTTTGAACTCTGTAACGCAAAAATTCCAAGCAGTAATTTTACAACTGAAACTAAGTCTTTCGTGAAACAAATGCCTGATGTGAACACTTTGCCAACCAAAATTCTGGAAGTCTTTCACTAAGAAAATTCTTTTTCACGTTGGCAAAACCTATGTAGTTGTTTCAAATTGATTAAATTTAAATCGTGAACTCAATTTGTGAAATAATATTATGCTTTCATAGTCAGAAAACATCAAATGAGTAAGTATTTAAATCACCGGAAGTACCGTATCCAGTATACGCGAGAGTTTCGGCTTCGGTCTCATAATTCATTCCTCAAACACAAGCTGCAGATAAAATTTTAACCGGGATCCAATGTTGCCAGCAATTGTTGATAATTAATGAAAACTATTTTCTTGTTCCGAGCAACAGAACGTTCCTAGTAACGGAAAGTTCCGATCAACGGCTGAGTATTCCTTAGAGTTCTTAGTCATTTGATGCAGAGAAGTCACGGGTACTTCTTTGATATATGGTAGTTGGTTATTTTAAAACGCCAACACCGATTTTAACCTGTAAATGTTTTTTTCAAGCAACATTTTCATCATCTGGAATTTTTACGCAGTAAGATAGCGGTAAATAGTTTTACGCATTAATTTGTAAATAAGCTGCAACTGCAAGTTAAAGTTGTAAAGCAAAGCGTTGTCGCAGAACTTTCAGTATGAGTTTTTAATTTTTTATACACAACACAGTTTAGTGCATCTTTCATCATAACTTTATGCTTTCTGTTTAAGTTGTGTCACTTTGTGCGATTGATGAATAAAGCAAGCCACCTTCTGTGGCTGCTGGTATAGAATTCATGCATTTCCTATGGAAATGATCAGCTTCTTGGATTATTCTTGGCTATTTCCATATTTTTCTTGTTTTATCCAGTAAATTCTTCCTTTGCGAAAGAGCCGTATTCTCCCGCCCACAGATTCATCCACATTTTCAATGGGGTGTTAGACCTTACTCGGTACAGCTGCATCAGTTTGCAAGACATCCATTTTAAATTGCGTTTTTCGTAGCAACTATCGTCAGTTTCCAGATCGAGGATCTTCGCTTCTGGCTCAAAGTGTTTAGGTCGGTGCAGCATGAGTAAAAAAGAAAGAAATAAAAAATATTTAAGCAGAACAAAATTCCATTTCCGGTTTTGGAACTGGAGTAATCATTAAAATCAGAATGCAAAGTTCTGTTTGCGCAAAAATAACCAGACTATATATATTAATAAAAAAATTTAATTTCCTGCTTAGAATTATAATTAAGCTAACCAAAGTCTTGGTTTACCAGGAAAGTACACTGATTAGAACGCGGAGGTAATACCCAATTAAGTACATGCAGGGCACCAAAGAAAG